GACGAGCTGGTTGGTTTGGCCAAGTCTCACTTCAGTGGAGTGTCTTTTGAGTACGAGGGAGATGCTGTCCCTGTGTTGTCACCCTGCCGGTTTACTGGCAGTGAGGTGAGATGTGTTAATTAAAAAAACAAATAAAAACTGCATGTTAAATTTTTTTCTTCAGTATTTGTGTTTATAAAGATTTCAAAAACCTGGTTCTTGTTTAGAATGAGACGTGGGGACATTCACAATTATGGTAAATGGTCTTCTTCCTCTCCTCAGGTCCGTATGCGTGACGATGCTTTTCCCTTGGCACACATTGCCATCGCCGTGGAGGGTGCTAGTGCTGCTAGTCCAGACATCGTGCCTCTTATGGTGGCCAACGCCATCATCGGCAGCTATGACCTTACCTACGGTGGTGGAAAGGTTGGAAATGTTATTTATTTTTTAAAATGTACACAGAGTAGAAAAGACGGCAACAATGAAAGAGTAACTGTAGTATTGAAATGTCCACAAAAATGACATCATCATGTTGGTTCTTTATCTTTTAAGCTTTATTTGTTCTCAGGTAAAAAAGTGTTGCTGCCACAGTGTATAATATATCAGATTTGAGATTTAAACTCAGAAAGGAGGATTTTGCTGAGATGAACAAGTCTTTGTTATGTCTGACAAGAAAGTGATTAAAATGTAAACAAAAAAAAAAAGAGTACTTTTTTTTAGTAATACTGTAAGTATGTTGTGAGTGTCAGCTATTGAATACACGAATCAGTTCAACTGGAAAAACTTTCTTGGTTTCTTCTTTAGTTATGAAGAAATATAATAACATATTCCTTTTTCTTCTCTTTTTCAGCACCTGAGCAGCCGCCTGGCTCGCCTGGCGGTGGAGGATAACCTCTGTCACAGCTTCCAGGCCTTCCACTCCTCTTACAGCGACACTGGCCTGCTGGGCATTTACTTTGTGGCCGATAAGAACAACATCGACGACATGATGCACTGGTCCCAGAATGCCTGGTCAGTAATGGTTCACGGACAGAGAGATGCAAAGGGGACATCAGAGACTGTGATTTGTTGCTAAAGGTTTAATTCTTTCATATTTTGCTCCCTGCAGGATGAATCTGTGCACCACAGTGACAGAGAGTGATGTCGCCAGAGGCAGGAATGCTCTGAAGGCTAGCCTGGTTGGACAGCTCAATGGTACGTAATCTCTGTAATGGATTATACACGTGCATATAGTTTTTGCACACCGTTGAAAACCTGGAATTTTTAGATCTTTTTCATAAGTTCCTTTCAAAAAAGTCCTAAAACATTTTTGAGCTGAACATGTTCACTATTAAGCAGCAGAATGAATTTGAGAGCAATGACACTACCTGATAGTACTGTGTACACTGTGCATCCCTGAAGGTCTCACACAGTACAGTGTGTTTTAATCACAGAAAAAAAGAATGAAAACATTCTCTTTTTATGAACTCGGACACACCACTCTCATGAATTATAAGTTTACACTCCTGTTTACCTTCTAGGAACAACACCAATCTGTGACGACATTGGCAGACACATTTTGAACTACGGCCGGCGTATTCCTATAGCAGAGTGGGATGCTCGGATTGATGTAAGTTTACTCTAAAGGGCAAAAAGATCACAATGTTCTGTGTCTTCACAGCATCATACAGTACCTTCTCAGATTTGGCTTAGTCCTGTAGTCTCTCCCGGATGAGCGTTTTAACTCTAAATCTTTCCTTTCAGGCTGTGACCCCCAAGATGGTGCGTGACATCTGCTACAAATATATTTACGATAAGTGTCCTGCTGTGGCTGCTGTCGGTGAGTTCTGCTGTACTTTTAGTCTCTTCACAGCAAGGATGCAGCTCATGCTGCAACTATTTTCTCTAACCTGTCCCTCCTTCTCTCCACCAGGCCCCGTTGAGCAGTTACCGGACTACAACAGAATGCGCAGTGCCATGTACTGGCTGAGGTTCTAAGATGATTAGTTATGATGTGTCTCTTCTTCCTCACCCTTACTTCACCTTCCTCCCCTTATCTCTGCGAGAGTAAACAGTGGATTGTCCACATGTTGGTGTGTCAGCAAAGGCAGCCATCCAACCTCTGCTTCCCGTTTTTGTCCAACCAGCTCATTAACAGTAGCCATCAGGGGGCAGCCAATCTGCATATTTTGTCTTTAAATTGCGTTCTGGTTACATGTTGATTGTACTGCTCACCTTATACTGATTTATAAAGGGAACAGAGGGCTGACTTGAACATTGAATAATTATCAGTGTGACATAATATGGTCAGTACTGAATATCACCAGATGGAGCAAGAGTATATTTATAATTTCTGTAACATTTGTTTCTGTCCACTATTGTACATAACAGAAGCTCTCATTCCAACAAAAATTAAAAAAAACTGTAAAATATTTTTTTTGTGTCCCTTTGTTAGTCATACAAAAGGATTTCTTAATGATTAAATTATTTAAATACAGAAATGTTGAATATGAATGTAAACAGTACGCGTGTGCAAAAGCCACATCTTTAAACACAATATAAGCAAAGAGCTAACCTGGTCTTACTGTGAGTCGCATTCACACCTCACAATGTTTTTAAAACATAGGTTTGTAATATCAGACCACTAAGGAAAAAGTACTTTTTAAACACAGCAAGGGCTTTTCAACATAGCATTTCTAAACACAGTAGTTTCCTTTAGAAAGCATCAATTGTGTTTCCACATAAGATTTTTCAGCAGAAGGAAAAACTTTAATTGAGCCAAAGCACAAACCACTGCTGTGCAATGATGCACTTTAACTTTGCGATACTTGAAACTTGTAAAATCTGGTTAAAGCTGAGGGTTATCTTCCAATTTACACACAGTATAAAAACAAAGAGTACGCCACAGAACAAGACTAGGACTGCACAGGAATGGATTGTGAGGTTAGCAAGAGAAAACTATTCGTGCAGAAGAGACACCTTGAAGTCAGACTGAAGCATACTAAGGACAAGAACAGATGAGATGAAGCTACAGCTTTTTGACCATAAAGATGCTGCTCATGTTTGGAGAAAAAAGGAGCGGCTACAACCCAAAGAACACCGTCCCCACAGTGAAACACAGGAGTGGGAGTATTATGCTGTGGATGTGGAGAAAGAAGAATATGTGAAGATTTTGAATATAAAGCTGAGTCTGGTCAGTGCTTTGTTTTCCAACACAATAACGACCCAAAACATGCTCCTGAAGAAGACCAAAGTGAAAGTTATTGACTGGCCTCATTTGAATCCCATTGAAAATCTGTGAGGTGAACAGAAGAGCAAAGTCCACACTAGAAGACCATCAAATCTAGAGGAGCCTGACAGATTGGCTAAAGAAGAATGAGCTGAGATTACTCAGGAGGCATGTTTGAGACTTGTTGAAATTCACAACAAATGACTGCAAGCTTTAATCCATCAAAAAGGATTCTCAATTCTCAATTAGCATTGGGTGGCCTAATAATTTTGACCCTGGCAGATTTTGTAAAGTAAAATAATGTAAGCATCCAAAATAAAACTAGTTTGTTTGGAAGAGCTGTGTGGGGGCTAATATTTCTGTCTGGAGGTTCTTGGACGTTTAAAGCACTGATGATGTGGTTACTAGACTAGTACCTTCACTTTTAAATCTAAAGTTTCTGCTGGAACTTAAATTGTCACAGTTTTTGAATTGTTGTAAACATCGCACTTTTTACTTTTCTGAAAAAATTGTATACATTAATGAACACATTATCATTCATGTTGTCGTCCTAAACCAGACGTGCCATTTGTATTATCTGTGCTCAAACTTCAGATGATATGTTGGGTTAATCTGTGATCTATGGCTTGACGTTTAAATTGTGTCTGTGGCCAAAG